ATGAAGATGGGAATATTGACAGGGAAATAGATTTGAATGAAGAAGTTTCATAAAGAGCACAGACGGTAGTGTGATGCAAAATTACTCATGGTAGAAATTTTCATAAAAGTGACCCAAAAAATGATGCTAACTCGGTAACCTGTGACCCGATGAAGTTTCGTAAAGAGCGCAAATGGTAGTGTGATGTAAAATTACTCATGCTAAAAATTTTCATAAAAGTGACCCGAAAAAGGCACTAACTCGGTAACCCGTGGCCCAATTTTAACGAAACTTGTTTTATTCTGTTTTTATTCTCATTTGATTACAAATATGGCGCTATTGTGTTCCGTGTTTGCTGTATTTAATTGCAGACAAGCAAACAAACAAACAATCTCAGAGTTTTAGTATATAGATAAAGCTTTCTAATGCATCGTTTATTAACTAAGGAAACACTGGATGTCATAAACTTACCTTCTTTGGCATGCTGTAACTCTTGTTTCAACTGTTCAACTTCTTCCTTGTGAACTTCCTGTTTTTCCTCATTATTTCCATGATTTTCTTCTTTTTTTTCTAAATGTAACAAGAATAAAAATGAAACAATTTTCATTTGGTAACAGCTTTATTTCTAAATAATCTGTAGTAAACAATTAAATGTAAGTTAACGAGAGAGAGAAAAAAAGAGCATATGTGAGTGCTCTAGCCCACAATGTCCCACATCTTTACCACCTTCCTCTGTCTGCACCCAGATACTGGAAGATGATTGCTCACAAGAAAAAGAAAATTAAATAAAAACAAAAAATAAAAAAGCAGCAAGAAGTTATAGAATACAATACATTATTTTTTTACTAGATTTTTTCTGCAGACAGCAGAAGGTGGTAAAGTTTTGTTTTCAAATTTTGTGCAAAGCTACACGAAGGCTATTTGCACTAGCCATCCCTAATTTAGCAGTTTTAAGACTAGAGGGAAGGCAACTAGTCATCACCACCAACTCTTGTCATTTTGTCATTTCCAAATCACTTGTATTCTGCAAGCATATTACTGAATGTACAAGACCACAATAAATTAGTCATTTATTTGAGGGTTCATAACACTTCTGATATTCATGAATATGGTAAAACACTAGCAAGAGGAATTAATCATAAAAGTTTATTAGCAACAGTTAGTAACAAAAATAACTGAAATGTAATTAATATTTTTCAATCTGTTTCGAAGACTGGAAAAATTCAAGAAGTGCACCTTTTTTCTCTGCCATATTCGTAATCAGCATCATATCATACTCTGCTTTTTTGAATTTTTCTGAATCAATACAGCTGGAATCTACAGCAATCCAGTTACAGCCTCAGCCAATAATTGATTATTTTTAAGCAAATACA